TCCTTTACTGCAAATTAAATTAGAATTCTCAGCCTTTTGGGGAGGGCATGGCAAGTTATGGGCCTTCTCCCTGGGGCGGCGGAAATGCCATAGATCCCGCTGTCTAGGACACTCCATAGATGAACCTAACCGCTTTATGGATTAGAAAGGTGGGCTCCTGCTAAGGGAGTGACAGGCAGCGGCTCTTCTAGCTCTGGTAGATCCCCGATTCCTGGTCAGTTGCCCTTGTTGCACTTTCACCAGACTTCTCCATTCATGTCCAGCTTATCTGATATTGTTGGCTGTTATTCTGAGCGTATCGTTCCTTACTAAATAGTCGATAATGAGCCCCAGTACAGAGTTCAGACCTGCACTCTCCTGGCAGGGTGCACAGTTAACTGTGCTGTACCTATTCCTGTAGGCTGGGTCTTTTGGGAAGCCTCATTGGAACTGGCCTGGTTCCCGGCATAGGAGTTAGCCTCAGGAATTATGAAGTGTCATTTGACTTCTCTCTGGCAACACCAAAGATCCATTGGAACTACCCCCTTCCAATAACCTTTGGAATCTGTGGAACAGACATTAGGTACCTATGATGTGGAAGTTTAAAACGTAGCCCCCATTCTTAAGAAATTTTCCATGTATGTGCTTAAGATTTATTAATGAATTTTAGTCTTCTAGGAGGGAGGATTAGGCAGCAATTCCTTTCCCTAAAAGAAATATAAGATGCATTCTAAAGAAAAAAAAACACACACCAAATTATTTGTGGATTAGCCCTCACTTCACTAAGCTTGGCATTTTATTTGGATGAAATTGATTCTGAATACATAGCAAAATATTCAACATTTAATAACATTTATTCAAAACACTGTATTTTTATCAAAATACTATACTATTTTCTGTATTAGTCAGAATTCTTTTATTGCAAGTAAGAGAACTCTGATCCAAATTGGACTGAAAAAAGGCATATATCATATTCACATAATTGAAAAGTCCAAGAGCAAGATGCAGCTGAATTCGGGGCACCAAATCCTGGGTTATGTGCCCTTCTGTAACTCCAGGTTGAAAAGAACCCTACCTTACTTACTGGGCATTTTCCAAAGGTAAATTGAAATGATTTTAGCATAATAGTGTGTGTATGAGGGGGTGAAGAGTGGTGACAGCTGCCGGATACTGCAAACAACAGAGGTCTGCTACATTCATGGGTCAATTTTGAGTCCCAGGAGATTCATCAAAGAGGTACTACATTTTTACCACATGGTATAACCTAACAAAGCATGGTTTTCTTTAAAAGGTGCATCTTTCAACTTGTGACTTGTTGACTCATGATGCCAGGTTACCACCTAATCCGTGTGTTCTGAGAACCTTCTTTATTACAAAAGCCTAGGATCTACCTTTTGTTTTTATACTATACAATTTCAGAAGTGTTGATAATTCCTTGGCAAAGGGCCTTATTTTTCTTGCAGTAGCTCATATCTGAGTGACCAACGTTATCTCAGCACATGAACCTTTTAATACACACTGACGTGTTTCATCTGGATAGTCCTTTGTTTCCATGGGTGATTACATATTTAAACCCTTAAACTAAATGCTGTTCTACAAAGGTGTTGGTGTAGCCCTAGTTGGTTTGGCTCAGAGGATAGAGCATCAGCCCAAGGACTGAAGGGTCCCAGGTTCAATGCTGGTCAAGGGTACATACCTCGGTTGCAAGCTTGACCCAGGCCCTGATTGGGGCATGTGCAGGGGACAATCAATCGATGTGTCTCTCTCACACTGATCTTTCTCTCTGTGTCTCTCCACCTCCCTTCAACTCTCTCTAAAAAAAAAAAAAATCAATGGAAAAATATCCTCGGGTGAGGATTAACAACAACAAAAAGATGTTGGTGAATGTATATATTAATATGAACAAGACATATAAGATCCTTGCTTTCATGGAGCTTACATTCTAGATAATTGACATAGTGGGTAAATAAGTGACCAAAGTAATTTCAGATACATATCAGTTTAATAAAGAAAGTAGAACAAGATGATCATGGAATGGAGGCTCTCAGCAGCTTCAGAATGGGTGGTCAGGGAGGGCCTCTCTGCACATTTGGTGTTTGACCTGGGAAGACAGGCAGAGAAGGCAGAGGACCAGTAAGTGCAAATGCTCTAAGATGGGAACATGTTTGGCAAATTCAAGGAATATAAGAAAGGCCGATGGGGCCAGATCAAAATGACCAAAGGAAAGTCGTAGGAAACAGGTGTGACAAGTAAGCAGGGACCAGATCAAAAGTGCCCCACATGTCATAGAAAGTATTTAGGGTTTGTCCTCTTTGTAATGAATAGCAGTCGGAAGGTTGCAAGCAGGAGAGTGACCTGATCTAATTTTGTCAAAGCTCCACGTGGCCATGTGTGCAGAATGGATTGTAGGGAGGCCACATGGAAGCTAAGAGGCTGGCGGGGGACTGTTGTAGAGGTCCAGGTGGCTGATGATGTTTTGGACGACGTAGCCGTGATAAAGCTGAGAAGTGAATAAAGTCAATATGATTTGGAGGTCTAGCTGAGCATGTGACTTGAGGAAGCGGGGCAAGGGGAAAGGAATCAAGGCTGAGTGGACTCCTAAATTTGGGGTCTGATCAGCTAAGTGGATGGTAGGGCCAGTGAAGATTTTCAGAAGTACAAAAACGTTTCATTCTCTTCATTGTCTTCTATGTGTCTTTCAGGCACGAAGTCGTCAACATCAACCTGAAAAATAAACCCGAGTGGTTCTTTAAGAAGAATCCCGCTGGTCTGGTGCCAGTTCTGGAAAACAGCCGGGGTCAACTGATCTACGAATCTGCCATCACTTGTGAGTACCTGGATGAAGCATATCCAGAGAAGAAGCTGTTGCCAGCTGACCCCTATGAGAAAGCGTGCCAAAAGATGGTCTTTGAGTTATTTTCTAAGGTGTGTATATAAGAAATTTCAGTTCCTGTTTGAAAAACCTTTGTTTTTTTAAGCTACATCAGTGATCATGTATGGTTCAGTAATTTTGGAAAGGAAAACAAAAGAGGATTATACTCTTTGCAAGCCCTTTCTTGATCGGTTCCTGTTTACCTCTACAAAGTTATCCCTCTGCTGACACACTATATTCCGGCCATACTGAATGTTTCAGTTTCCCAAAATTACCACCTTATCAACTCTTGATGGAAGACCCTTCTTCCTTCTCACTTTGCCTGGTTTTCTCCAAATCCTCTTTCATGTATCTGCTCAGATATCGCTGCCTTCCAGAAGCTTGTCCAGCCCAGCTCTGTGTTCCCACAAGTACTAACATTGCCCTGTTGGTGACTGTCTGCCTTAAGCCTGTGAGTTGTACCAGGGTGTGAGCTCCTTGAGGGTGAGGGCAGTGTTCCCATTACTGTTGACTCACTGCCTAGGTTTGTGACCAGCTCTGCCCCTTCCAAGTTGTTTAACTTGCTAAGTTACTTATTGCTTTACCTCTGTGTCTCAGGTCATTATTTGTTCAATGAGTGTAATTATGTCTTCCTTATAGATAAAACCAGTTAATCTAAAACATGGAGAGCAGAGTCCGACACATGGTAAATCTCAGTGTTAGTTCTTTTTCTAGCCAGTGTCTAGCAGTGAGCTTGTGCTCTGTGCTGGCAATAACTCTCAGCTGACTGAGTAAATGGCATTCCTGTAGAAGAACTGTATCTTATCAGTGTTATAGATTAGTTCAAGCAGTTAGTATTCACAAAGACATGACCAATAGTAGACAACAAGAATAGCAACGTCAGGTTATGTCTCTATAATACAAAATAGCAATATCAGGTTATGTCTCTATAATTCTGTTTCCATGTCAATGTATATCAGCATGCACAGAAATATCTTCTCTAGAGAATGAAATGGTTAAAGAAATACTGCAAAAATGGGACTTATAGGGAGGACATATTGTTTAAGGAGACAGTGCAAAGGGCAGCCGATGGGGATGGGAGAGGGAAATGTCTGGCTTAGCAGGATGAGGGGGAAAGAATAGTAGAGATGGCTGCTGTCAAAGATGATGGACAGGGCATAGGGCATTTGCAAGGAAGATGTTGCAGAATTTAAAAAAGAAAAACAGTAACAAGAGAATCATCGTACTGTTTAGAAAGAAAATGAGCTAAAAGCTGGAGATGCCCACTATTACTTTCCTACTCACATTCCGGAAAGAGGTGATCCAAGGTACCATATGACCCCACCATCCTGTCCACAGCTCAGCAGACCAGAAATGGCCCCACCTGCACCCCCAACCCAATCATTTTCTCTCCTAGAAACTTGGAACTGAGACAGACTAAGACAGTCAAAGTGGGGAAGCTTAGGATGGATGGATGGATATA